AATATGGTGTAATCAAAATAGTTGCTTAAAAATATTTGCTTGTCTTCTATACATATAATAAAGTTGTAACTAAGCCGAATCTGTACATTATATATTTTTTTGAAAAATCTTATTGAAATATACATTATTATCGATACAGAAGTCGAATCTATAGTTTTTAGAATTTTTGTCCTTGTCTGCTACCGCATCACGGGAAAACCACTGGGTAGATTTTGATGAAATTTGGTATTATCCGGGTTAAGCTGGTTATCCGGGTCAACGTATAGGATACTTTTTACTAAGGGAAAATATCTAATTTCTGAGAAATCTATACAAAGCGTTAAAATGTAACTCGCTAGTCAGGAACAAATATAACACTTTTATTGTAAAGTTAAATATAACTTAAGCTAACTTAAAAAAGCTCTCTACACTTTCGATTCATATAATACAGAGATCACAGTTTGATGATTGAAAACGTAACATAATATACGCGTACAAAATATCACAGTCAGTAATATATCATTATTTTTACCTTCAATACAATTTGACACGACTATAATTGAATTTCTCGCCTGAATGGAAAAATGAAATATTACGCGTGTAATTTAATAATAGCTTTTATATACGAAAAAAAAAGTTATAGGTATTAATTTTTTTTAGTATTTAGTAAATTTTATTATTTCGCGTGAAAAGGTTTTACTATATAACTATAAACACACGTTTTCGGCAATGTATGTATGTCAATTTACACAGACGTTTGTACCTACATACATCCAAAGTTGTAATGTACTTAGCCCGTTTTTTAACGTCCCACTACAGGGCACGGGCATCCCTTCAATACGAGGAGGATCAGGCCATAGTCCACCACGCTGGCCAAGTGCGGGTTGGTGGACTCCACACCCAAGGTCGTCCATATGCTTAATTCGCGAAAATTATTATAAACTCCCTTTATCGAAATAAGTTATCCATAAATAATAATAAAGAAATAAATATTGTGGGCCATTAACACACAACACCGTCTAGTACCATAGTAAGCTACGAGGCTTGTTTTATGGATACCAGATAGTTGTAACACTATACATATATAACTTTAAATACATACATATTATAAATATAAACACCCATGACTGAAGTACAAACATTCGTGCTTATCACACAAAATGAATGCCCCCAGCGGGACTCGAACATGCGACCGCTGGTACAGTACAAGTAGGGTCACTACAAACTGAGCCAAACATGTCGTCATCTATAGGTACCTCAGGATATGGGAAGGGCATAAATAAACAGTAAAGGGATCTTTTTGAGGGTCATCTGGCCTTAGGGGTTTCGGGTAAAATAACGTCAAATTTTTACGAACGTCCATATTATATACTCGCAAACTTTACTCTTGGCCAAATGTGTTTTCTTAATAAGTTATGAGGGGTCGTATAAGTTAACTGTTGGTTATAGAATGAGTTTTATTTAAGAGCTCTTCTTCGATATTTACTTTTCATCATTATTTTAATGAAATATGCTTAACTCTATATTTTCATTTTGGCATAAACTTACTAACCTATAAAAGTTTTCTATCAATGTTCAATGTTCTTTGTTCTGTGGCTTATAGGCGTGGCTTCTATAAGCCATATGTGCCATTTGGGCACAATTTACTTCGCAAATGTCGTGTAGAATGGAGAAAAAACGTTTTCATATTTTCAAGTCAACTATAACTTGTTAATCTTGTCATAAAAAAAATCACTGCATCTATTTAATACTAGCGATTCACCCTCGCTTCGCTCGGGTTCGTCCCTACCTTGATTTCCCATAAAAACTTTTATCCCCAATTTCACCCCCTTATGAGACGATTTCCGGGATAAAAAGTATCCTTTATCCTTTCCGGGGTCTCAAGCTATGTTTTCACCAAATTTCATCTAAATCGGTTCAATAGATCCAGAGATTACCCCCTACAACGTCACAAACTCAATCTTGCAAACTCACAAACTTTACCTCTTTATAATTTTAGTATAGATTTTATAGATACAGGATGTGAAAAATCCAACCGATACTTTATCCTCGCCTTTCGACTTATTCGTCAACGTCAAGCCGAAACCAGTCAAGCTAATTATTTGTAATTAAGACTATCTTAGGATCCTCTTTCGTAAGTCTTAGGAAATAATCAAAAAAGTTCGTATAGTGTTTCTTTTTGGATAATGTAATATATATTAGTGTTTATACATTATAATACACATATAATAAATAAAAATGAATATATATATATATATATATATATACACTCGTATACCGGTATAACTCACTTAGTTATACAAAAAAAAATTGTTAGTTTTTAAAACGACCTTTTTCCGACCTTAGTCCCGTGATCATAATCGCTGTAAATCATTCGAAACGACGGGAATCAAAAATCAAAATAAATTCGCGAAAAAATCCGAACAGATAGTTTCATTTGAAAGTATTTCGTACTCATATTACCTACCTTTTTAAATATTATTATATACTATGTATTTAGCCCTTTTTAACGTCCCACAGCTGGGCATGGGTCTCCCTTCAGTACGAGGGGAATCAGGCCATAGTCCACCTCGCTGGCCAAGTGCGGGTTAGCGGACTTCACATGTCTTTCGAATACTCGCTAGGTTCTCTCGCACATGCAGGTTTTCTCACGATGTTTTTCTTCGCCGTAAGACAAATGGTAATCATGTTAGAAATGACTCGCACATGAAAATATCAGAGGTGCGTGACCCGGGATTTGAACCATTGGGCTACCACTGCCTTATTATATACTATATATGATATTCTTATATGATACGGGATCAAATCCCATAAAGCTATGTATGCTTTGACTCTTTTTAAATTCATATATTATACTTTATTACATTATATTTTTTACATAAACACAATCTTTACGACTATTTGTCCCAAAAGTTATATAAAATATAATAAGACCTCGAATATCTTAGGAAAAATATAAGAACCCACTAAAGCTCTAAATTCTACTTAAAACACATATTTCTGACAGATACCTTTTCGTATTTCTCTCCAGAGCTGGCAACTTCACCATTTAAATATTTTTTATGATTTTATAACAATAAAATATTTTTGTAGAAGAATTTTTTCAAGATATTTTTTGAAATAAAAGCTGATGCCAGTGCATTGGTTCGCGTTTGTAATTCTTTTTTACAGCGTGCATTCTATAGGGCGCTTAAGCTTATTACGAGTACGTACACATTTACGTACGTATTGTATTAATCTTATCATATTTATGTAAATATAATATTATTATTATGTACATATGTATGTATCTTTGATATGTAAGTTTATTCATAGTATTAAAAATGAATAATTGTTATTATTGTATTATTATTATTATGGTTTTATTATTATTATTATTACTACTATATAGTTCACACCCCTTCCCTCTTACAGTTTGTCAATTCCAACACCTTAAGGTTGCCTGGAAGAGATCGCTGTTTTAGCGATAAGGCCGCCTCTTGTACATAACTCTTTTTATATATTTCTTGTATTTTTTTTTCTTTTTTCTCTAGTGGGTGTACAATAAAGAGTATTTATTATTATTATCATTATTACCATTGGTTACTCAACTGAAAATTTTCAAATAATAAAAATTCGCATTATCATCTTCGTAGTGGCCTAGCCTAGAGATGTGAGCAATTGCAATCAATATTATATTATAAACATTTGACAGCTCCACAGATGACGGAGCTTTGTATCATATTAGCAGCTCACCCTCAATTCGCTCGGGTTCGTCTCTAGGTACGTTTTAAATACATATAAATAGTTTAATAACCAGCGATGGCCATGTACATTTTTATTCAAATATTTTTTTCCTGAATTTTTCTGATGTTTGTATTGTTTGTAATAAACCCGACTTTATTTTATATATATATATAGATAATATATAGTATATGTATTCCATACTAACCGTTAAATTTTACATAGGGACGAATACGGTGAGTCACTATTATTTTATAAATAAATTAATTACTGTTAAAAGATTTTTAAAATATATTCTATAAGAACCTCTAGATTTGTATCAAAAGGGAGAATAAAAAATTAAAACTCTGTATTGTTTAGACATTTATTACTTTTACATAATTATTTTACTCGTGATTTGACAGACTGTGTCTAAGTTATAAAGACATAAAGGAACTTGAAATAATTACATACAATTTAAAACAAGAAAGTCATAACTCTCATAAAAATCTTGTACTATAACAACATTATCACAATAAACACCTAAAACTACATAGAATTGAATCTATACATGGAAAGGATAACTACAACAAAACTTAAAAAATATTATTATAGCTGTATTTTTAATACACTAACAATAAAAAATCACCAAAAACAATATCATTACTAATTCATTAAAAAAACACAATTTCAAGTTAATCATATTTGAATAAATAACAATAATCACAAATATTAGGCATGAAAAATGTCACATGAAAAATTATAGTAAAAATTCAGAAGTAGAAGCTTTTAAAAGCTTAGGATTAGAGCAAAATAGTTTTTTTTCTATTACAATTCTCTTGTTATCCTTAGTAATGAAGTATACATTGGATTAAAAAGGTACGGAAGTATAAAAGGTCAGTAAAAATACTACAGGGTCTAGAGTAAAATACTAGAATTTGATTATATATTTAATATTCACATGAAAATCTCACTACGGCTTTCTGAATAATCGCATCAGCGATACCCTAATCTATTGTAGAAATATTATTTTTAATATTTGTATAAGTTATATCATCTATATTACTTTGTATTATATATTTTACTCATATATTAAAATTCGGAGTAGGTTTTGTTACCCACAAAGATTCTACGTCTAACAGTATAGTATATCGTAAGGGAGTAACTTATCTAATGACTAGTCCATCGAGTCGGGTGCTTTGCACTACAATATATTTACTTTCTATAACTAATGTAAATAATTTATATACTTAAATATTAAAAGAAACCAATTCTTTTTAAAGATCAACATCAATAATATCATATCACTTCAGTCTTTACTTTTTGCAATTTTCTGTTTTCATGTTCTTGACTATTTCGTTCACATTATTTATCGTGTTATTAAATCGATTCACGACATCTCGCACTTTACCTTTATTGATGACGAGCTCTTTATCATATGTAGGTGTAATTAGGCCTTTCCCATTTCCATTACATATTTGTTTATTGTTATTTGGTGCTGATGCGTTTATTTTTGCTTCAGATAATCTGAATTCTCGCACAGCATTATCTATATTATTTATAAGGTCCTTTGCTACAAAAGTGGCTATTTCGTGTTTGATGCGATCTCTCTCAGCTTGAATTTCTGTTGTCCGTTTATTATTAGTTTCTTTCAATCCATTTTTTTCTGGACTGTGGCTGTGTGTTAGTGAATGGGATGCGGGAGAATCTGGTCCTTGAAAGGTTATGCTGGGATTATTTGTAACAGTGTTATCATTGTGATTGGTTTGCCTATATGTATTGTTTTCGTTCGATCCTGATTTTTCTCCCAATAACCAATATGTTGTCATTTTGCCTTTCCCCTGATGAAAGTAATTTATATAATAAACATATTTTCAGCGTAATAATTAATCTATTCATTTTATTTTACCTACATTTTAAGTATTTATTATCGAATATTTATTTCTGATTAGTCTAATATCATACTATAAAATAAAATAAATGGTTTCAGAATCGTGCATAATAAATAATATGCATTGTGTTATTAACTAAGTTCGACAGTATTTTTTTATTATTTGATCCCGATACTTAAAAATTGCACGATATTAGGTATATATACTCACCTTCATAATAATTTCGCCCCGGCATTCAAGATCAAAGCAATCGTATAGATCGAGTACTTCCTTAGTTTTAGGACTGACATGAATTTTTAAAGCTTCTCCATGAGACTCCATTCTTGACGCTGTGTTCACAGTGTCTCCAAAGAGGCAGTATCGGGGCATTTTCAAGCCTACCACCCCAGCAACACATGGACCTGTTATTTATAGTACTTTAAATTATAAAGGCAACACTAAAGTAAACAGAAACTGAAAAGGGATAAATAAATCTTTTTAATTTTCCAGACTAGAACGAGAATGTAACTAATTTTAACTCGGCGTGTTCTTTTGACGCCGACTTTTGCCTTCGATGGAATTTCTTATTAAAAAGATTTAACTTTATAGTATTTTTTGTGAATAAATATTAAGTTTTATGAAAATTAAAATGTACCTGCAAATCAAAATCAAACTGCTCTGTGAAAATTATGTGATATATAAAAATTATAGACGTCAACTTGAGAACCGTCCTCTTCTTTCGTCGGTTAATTACAATTAATACATATACATTATACATAATATTATAATATCTTTAAGGCCATTTAAGTATAATAATGAAAAGTAATAAAAGAACTGCCTTTAGAAAAATATTCTACTAGCATGAAAGTGCTATCCATACTAATATTATCAATGTGAAAGTGTGTTTGTTTGTCTTTCTTTCACGTCAAACGGCTTGACGATTGCTTGATTTTCGTGATTTTTTGTGTGGATATAGTTGGAGGGCAGGAGAGTAACATAGGGTACTTTTTACCGCGGGAGATTATCTCCTTCCTACGGGAAAACACGTTATAATACAATTCAAAAAAATATTTATGTTCAGAATTACTTTAAACTCTATAAATGCTCTTCAATACAATTAAATAAGTGTTTTAGTATTTTTCGAAATTTATCCCATAACGGGGTAAAATAGCGTATGAAAGTTTGTATGAAACCTACCATTGTAGAGTTTTTTTGTAGTTTTAGCACGAGCAAAACCGCGGGTTCTGCTAGTAATATATAGTTAACTAATTACTCCTATTATTTGATTCAATAAGAAAATATATCGTTTTATTTCACCTACACTCTTTAATTCACAGAGATATCCTTAAAACATTACCATCTTTTTGAGTAGGTTGGGTAATGACGTCTATTATTTCAATTGACAAAGAAATAGAAACCGTCTCAGATCAGACAAACAAGTACATTAATTTCCTTTCAACTTTTATCGTATTATTATTGGTCCAATCGAAGAACAACAAAAGAAACATAAAAAAAGTCTACGTAGAATAAATAAATTAAGCTTTTTCAGGAAGTAAATAGGGTAAAGTAAATTAAAAGCTCTACTAATACAGTATATATATATTGAACAAAAACAAGAATAGTTACAAATTATACTATAAAAGAAAGCTTACAATTGTAAATCTTTGAATAATTATATCAAGAAACTAAAATTAAGACTTGTAACGAATTACTACTTTAAGAAATACCCACCAGAATGCATGCCAATTCTCAATAGCAGCCTTTCCCCCGGTCGATGTGGCACTGTTTTCAATCGCACAGCTCGAAGCAAAGCTAATGACATACGCGCAATTTCAGCAGCGTGTCGGTTTCCATTTCGCATTGGAAGACCAGATACAACCATGTACGCATCACCAATTGTTTCTACCTGAAATGAGTTCATTTTACTATGTTTCTTCAAGTTTTACCTATTTTTAACAAAGTAAAGCAAATAAAATCAAGCCTTTGACAAAATTGATATGGTTATATAAATAAAATTATCCCTTCTAAAAATGGAATCTGTCTGTGGAAGATACCTATATTTTTATTAGATGTCTACTCTCTCTACTAAATTTATATTATTGCCAGCGAATAAACTCGTCGATGCTGCTAAGAAATAGATATTTAATTAATACGCATAGGCTATTTAATTAATGTTTATTACGCACCTTATAAACGTCAAAATTTTCAATGATAGAATCAAAGCTGGTGTACAAATCGTTCAACAGATCCACAACTTCTAGGGGCGTCGACTCGGCAGAGAGTTGAGTAAAGCCGATTATGTCACTGAAGTAAATTGTCACCTGGTCATAGGTTTCAGCCATAACTGGCTGCCCCATTATAAGTTGTGAAGCGACAGATCTGAAATTTGATTTACATTTAGACAATGGTTACCTTAGTTTTCGAGAAATATTAGAATTTTTCTGTTTCAACAAAGGAAAGAAAGTACTAAACAAAAATTTATTGGTAAAAATATTATGGGAATTAAAGGGAATCTAAAGACTTAAGAGTTATATTGTTTCGGTAAACAGTTTTCAGGACATTATTATTATTACATCCCTAAATTGTTATACAACTACATAATATACTTATTTTCTATGCTTTTTATCATTTTAAGATATTAAATATATTTATTTATCTTAATAAGCCCTTGAACTCGTGAGTGAAGGCTTCAATTTGAGATACAGACTCAAAGAAAGACTGCTTTCTTAATATATCATTAATTATTATTTGCTAACGACTCACCCTCGCTTCACTTGGGTTCGTCCCTAGGATATTTATTTATTTATTTATTTATTTATTTACTTCTTTTTACACATTGTATCAATTCAATGATCACTTGTGTACGTCAATTAGAAGACTTAAACTAAAGCTACGAGGGTTCGTAACGCGCCCTGGATATTATTAAATTTTTTACTGTCCCGTCAAAATCGGTCCAGCCATTTCAGAGATTAGCCGAAACAAACAGACAGACAGACAGACAGACATACAAAAATTGTAAAAAATGTTGTTTTGGTATATGTACCGTGTATACATACATATGCATTTAGTAAAAAGCTGTTAACATTATAAACAAACACTTCAATTTTATTTATATGTATAGATAACTGTAAAAGTTAATATCATATGCTAAATGTAATTAAGTAAATATGTTGTAAGAAATGTTTTTCTTCATTACAACAAATTTAGGTAAACTCTTCAAGCTCTAAAAGATTCTGATGAAAAGTCTAAATTTATTTTCGTAAGCATTAATATTTCCCTCGGACTAAGAAATTCTTCGCTCTCAGCAAAAACGAAATCTTATTTCACAAGACAGGTCCCGGGGCCTCGAATCCTTTTATAAATAAATAATAATGCTTACCGTACATATAGGGTTCAACGTTTATACCTATCTATCTATGGAAGACTGTACTTTCAACTACTTTGATTACGAAGACCGTTCTTTTGAACAGTCTTTGAAGTCTTAGCAAATTAAATTAGTCTCGAAAGTTTTAGACTCTTGCGTATTTAAGATTATATCCTATATAAATATATATACAATTGTTAGTTTGATATCACATATTTGTTTTACTATTTATAGAGATAAATTAAATTGAAGTGTCTGTTTGTAATGTCAAAATAACAGATTTATAATAAATACATAATATGACAGTATATAGGTACGGTACTTATAATACAAAAATAATCGTGAAAGTTTTTGTCTGTCTGTTTGTTTGTTTAAGCTAATATGCGAAACGGCTTAACCAATTTTGACGGGACTTTTACTGGCAGATAGCTGATGTTATACGGACTAACTTAGGCTACTTTTATATAGTAAAATTAGGGTTCCGCGCAAAAATATTAAAATCCATGAAATTGTGAACAAAATCCGTGTATCTTAGAACGCACCTGAGCGATGCGAGTGTTAGTCGCTAGTAACAAATATTTGCTTAAATATATTTACATTTAAAGTTAAGCACATGGGCGACCGAGTTTCGCTCGGCGTTTGTCTAATTAGGTATAAAAATTGCTATATTTTTTCTTTTCAGAAAAGTACACCAATACAGATAAACTAAAAAAACAAAACCTCATCTAAATAAAAAAAAGATCCAACTCGTTAGAGCCGTTTCCGAGATACACGAAATAAATGTATGCCTATATACAAGAATTGCTCATTTAATATTATGAGAGGACATTAATTATAATTTTATGTACTTAGGCAATAACTGGTACAACAGTTCCTCGCATTTCCTCTTCTCTTCCAGATAATCTGACGTCCGTTCCTCGACTAAAGCTTCCAAATTGTTAGCATACTGTTCCACTTGGGTCAGCAACATGTCGAGTCGCGTGGATGTCTCGCAGTCCCTTTGAAAATGATAAATTACTTTGAAACTGCTTAGACATTTAATATGAATAACTAGATTTTGTGTTTATGATGTAAGGCGTTACGTTTGGCTCAGTTTGATTTTTTTAGTGACGCTACTTGCTGTGCCAGTAGTCGCGGGTTCGAGTCCCACTGGGAGCAATCAGTTGTGTGATGAGCACGTATGTTTGTATTCCAGTCATGGATATTTATATATATAACATGTATGTATTTAAAGTTATATATGTGTTAACTATCTAGTATCTATAACACAGACCTCGTAGCTTACCATGGAACTAGATGGTGCTGTCTGTTTATGTGTGTATGTTACTCAATCATTATTTCATTAAACCATTGCTGTTTAAATATGTATGTGTGTATGTATGTATTTGGCCCTTTTTAAGGTCCCACTGCTGGGCACCGCCCTTCATTCAATGCGAGAGTGTATGTCTGTGGCATTCTAGCTCTCAAGCGGATGGACCGATTTCGATGCGGTTTTTTTTATTTGAAAGCCAATTTCCTTGTGGTAGTTCTTAGCTATGTTTGGTTAATATCGGTTCAGCAGTGTAAGAGTACTAGCTCTTTTCCAAAATGATGTAAGGCATTATGGCGTATGATTACTCGATTAAGTGCTTCACGCGTGCCAGTGTAATCGTTTAATGACAAATAATTTACGTAGGGATTTTTTTTTTAATTTTTACTTTTACATTTTATGTTAAGAAATGATCTTCTACGATGGATGTCATATACAACTTAGAAGGCATATATGCCTTCTCTGCTATTAAATAACATTTCTTAATGCGTGAAAGAAGATGAAGCAATAAAAATTACACCCTAATTATATAATTGGCAAAGATTTAAATATTATTATGTTATGCTAATATGAAATAAAATATTTTTGGTTTTCTCCCTTTAGAAATTTATTACAATACACCAATCTTCCGTAAATTTTGTTCTAAACAGGGTCTTTATAATAACCTCGAGAGCAATAAATCATAATTTAATTATCATAAGACCAAGGATCTAGAGTACAATGTGTAACAATTTATTGAGCTTAATAAGTTAATTATTAATTAATATTAAATTATCTGTAGTTACTTGTAAAACAAATTATGTACTGAAATATCTATTTGCATCAGATATTATTTGATTGTTTTTGTTGTTTTTGTTGTATAATAGTATATATTAATGCGAACAATTCTGTATGCATTTATTTTATTTCTATTAAGAGGGTTTTATATATTATATAGGTAGATAATATAAAATTGATAAGTATTATCAAGTACGTTTCAATATTCATAACCTTTAAAAGATTTCCTCTCTTCTTGAACTTCAATTAAATTCCCAAAAATAAACACGAAATTCTGTTATTTTTATTCTATACATATAATAAAATTCTGAGTCGAATCTGTACATTAAATATTTTTCGGAAAATCTTATTGAAATAGACATTATTATCGATACAGAGGCCGAATCTACAGTTTTTAGATTTTTTGCCTGTCTGTCTGTCTGTTTCTGTCTGTTACCGCATCACGGAAAAAACACTGGAGGGATTTTGATGAAATTTGGTATGATGGTAGCTGGTTATTCGGGTCAACATATTATAGGATACTTTTTACCGCGGAAAAATATCTCATTTTTGAGAAAAATACAAAAACTGCAATGTAAGAGTATACTAATATGTAAAACCTAAGAATTTGGTTTTTGGTCATCTGAACGCGGGCGGAGCCGCGGGCAATGCTAGTAATATAATAAAACTTATAATGGAACTCACTTATTAATTCTGTGAATGTTCTCTTTTAATGCTGAAAAGTCCGGTCGGTCGTCATCTGGCAGGGCCCAGGGGGGTTCCCCCGTTAGGGACTGACGTGGTGACACTGATAACGGTGACGTGCCCCGGTTTCGCATATCAGCATTACCTGTAGGTAAATTGCTTTTGAATTATTCGCTCATTCATAAATTCGAAACCACTTAATAAGTATAATATTAAATATATATATATATATATAACAAAGTACAAAGAACAAAAAAACTATATACTAACAAGTTTATTTATTTTTATGTAAATAAAGTTTGACCTATTTAAAACTGATGAAATTAATGAATACACAATATTAGTGCTTAAAAGTATTTTAAACTTCGCCATTGTCTCCAACTTTGATAAGCGCGCTAAATACTCCAGTTTTGCGACATGTCATTTCAAGATAAGAAAACTTTTGTAGCACGCGCTTATTTTAAACGAGTTATCTTTCTTGTAAGAACATAGTTACATAAAAAAGCCTAATAAGGTGGCATTCGTGCCCATTTTGACTGTCGTGGTATTTATTACGAAACTTTACGTTAGTACTTATAGCTAACTATCATGTACGGTTCCAGAGGTCCTGGTTTCAATTTCTAACTTGATCCTACACTGGGCCCGATTTATAGAGTTTTTCTGTCAAAAGTAAGATTCTCAGTAGTAATAGAAAGAAAGTAATAGAAATGAGTTCGAAGGCTTCCTTATATTGTAAAAATTATTAGTATTATATATTAGTCATCATTAGTGTTATATAAAATTAGTATTAAATAAATACGTACGTCTAAATTTATCTTCCAATATCGCAGCGCAATAATCGCATGCTAGTGTGCAGTGCGGACGACGTGACTCCAGCAGGGGACTGACGGCGCGCCTCGGGCTAGGCGAGTCCGCGCCGCCCGGCGGCACCAACGACATGGCTCTGTTGAAATTATTTTATTTGCTACATTACAAAAATAATATCTCTTTATAAAGAACATATTTTATTATCTTTTTTGCACAAAATATAAAAAAATGTACAAAAGGCCGACCGGACCACCCTACAGAAAGTCAACATAGGTGCGACAAGCGATTTATCACGACAAAAAAGTTTTAAATAATTTTTAAATAAAACTATCTTTTCGGATTTTTTCGCGGATTTATTTGGATTTTTGGTTCCCGACGTTTCGAATGCTTTATAGCATTCATGGTCTCTGGAGAGACTGAGGTGTTAGATGTCTCGAAGGTATAGTTATTACAGACAGCCTACCCACAAATAACAAAAACGTTTTATCTTAAATATAAAAGTACAATTAGCTACACTAAACCAGGTCTAGCAAGCCACCTAACAATGTAAAATGTTAACAATAGACGTTTAATTCGTGTATAAAACTCATATGATGGTTGAAAATAAATTAGGCCAGTTAAAAAGCGAGTAACTCGCTAAATATTGAATCTCATATACAAATTAATGACCTAATAAATCATCTGAAATCAACCATTTATACGTTTTTTAATATTTTTTTCTTTTCCATTACAGGATAAATAAAAATAAAGTAATTTCTATTGCAATGTCAGCTCTTATTCAATACTAGCATTGCCCGCAGCTCCGCCCGCGTTCAGATGACCAAAAAACAAATTCTTATTTTTTACATATGCATTTTTTGCATATGCATTGCAGTTTTTGTATTTTTTCTCAGAAATGAGATATATTCCCGCAGTAAAAAGTATCCTATATATTGACCCGGATAACCTGCTACCATCATACCAAATTTCATCAAAATCTGTCCAGTGGTTTTCTCGTGTTGCGGTAACAGACAGACAGACAGACAAAAATTCTAAAAACTATAGATTCGGACTCTGTATCGATAATAATGTATATTTCAATTACATTTTCCAAAAAATATTTAATGTACAGATTCGACTGAGTTACAATTTTATTATATGTATAGATTGGTGATAGACCACTAAAAGCTAACGTTTCTCTGTATTCAGATTTCATATTGGCATAGAGGAAAGCCAACAATCCCAGCTTTCCAATGTTGGATACAGTCAAATAAAAGAAGTTGATCGTGCAAGGTACTAAAGGCAAAAGCCATTCATTCAATGACTTTTTAAAGTAAAAGTCACTGCACTATAGATAAGTATATTTTTACTTTATTTAGCACCACCAATTCTTTCAAAATTAAACAAAATAAAATTTAAAATAAACATATCATATTTGCCTTCGGATCCTAACAAAGATGTAATACTACCTTTGTTGAGTAGCATAAGAAGGGCAGTGGTAGCCCAGTGGTAACGCGCTTTCTTGGGAAACCGAGTGATGCGGGTTCAAATACCGGGTCACGCACCTCTGATATTTTCATGTGCGAATCATTTCTAAAATGATTACCACTTGCCTTAAGGTGAAGGTAAAACATCTTGAGGAAACCTGCATGTCTGAGAGAACCTAGCAAGTTTTCGAAAGACATGTGAAGTCCGCCAACCCGCACTTGGCCAGCGCGGTGGACTATGGCCTGATCCCCCTCGTATTGAAATGAGGCCCGTGCCCAGCAATGGGACGTTAAAAAAGGCTGAATACATAAGTAGCAATTATTCAGCGTAGGTTAATTCAACGGTTAATGAACAATTGTATCTTTAAAGTTAAGCAAATTCTAGTTCAATGCTAAGAAATATCTATTTTAGACTAATTTTAGTCTTCATTTGCAACCCTAGTATGAAAGATACTTGTATAACCAAATAATGTGTACCGTAAGTACCTAATAGGACGCATTACCCGTCAGTCATTTCCATTAAATCATATTTTTTAGAAGTAAATAACCAGTAAGTACAGGCCATGAGCTAAGCACGCCAGTGTTGATAACGACTTTAATGTTTCGTAAAAAAATATAATTAGTAATAAATTTACATAATCTCTCAAAAGGCCTGCATGATGGAAGCTTTTACATAAGTGCCTCATGTAAGATGATATAGGAAAACTATGAGATTCCCCCCCCCCCCCAACGTGCGTTCACCTTGTCGTAGTGGGGGGGCTCAGTAGTGCCCGGCAACCCAACCGGGCGCGAAGCCAAGAAACGCACAAGGAGGTGGCCTACTTCGGTGGGCGGTGGGAGGTGGCCCTCTTCGGAGAGCAGTGTACCATGCGGGTTGCTCCTGGTACTTCTCTGATAGCAGAGTGGACTGTGGAGCAACCCTGTGGTTGTTGTGGTCTGCTTCGGCAGACCTGCCGTCGGGGCGTCGTAGTTGAATGCGTAAGCGATCCTGCGACGCCCCATTAAGACGGGGGAAGGTTTTGTTGGGTTTTAGTGGGTAGTACTGGCTTTGCCGGTGAGTCCCACACCTCGTGCGTAAATGCATTTCCCAACGTTAAAAAAAAAAAGGAAAACTATGAGATATCTATAGTCTATACATATAAAAATTGTAATTAAGCCGATTCTGTACATTAAATATTTTTTGGAAAATCTTATTGAAATAAACATTATTATCGATACAGAGGCCGAATCTATAATTTTTAGAATTTTTGTCTGTCTGTCTGTTACCGCATCACAAAAAAACCACTGGAGGGATTTTGATAAAATTTGGTATGGTGATAACTGGTTATCCGGGTCAACATATAGGATACTTTTTAGCGAGAAAATATCTCATATCTGAGAAAAAATAGAAAAACTGCAATGTAAGACTATACTAATATGTTCATCAGAACCCGGGCGGAGCCGCGGGCAATGCTAGTACATTATAAAGTTAGAAAAGCTAAAAGTCAACTCATATAATGGGACTAATTATTATTAATGTTTATTCCTTTCGACTTCTAATTTTTCGAAGTATTTTAAGGATAATTTTTAAAAGCCATATGTCTAGAATATTGTAGTTATTTTTAAATAGAATAAGTGATTTGGATATATTTCAACTTAAAATATTGCTATTTTTTATATTATAGACAAAATAAAATTAACCTATTTATAATGAAAAGAAACATGTTTACAGTCTACACACAATGACAACATGGAAAGCCGTCTTTCTACTATAGAAAATGCACAAACAATTGACATGCAGACAATAACGTCATAAGACTTAGAAGTCACTCTGAGCCCCACAATCTACGTATCACTATACATATAAGCATGAATGGACGTAAATATGGGAACTTTTTAAAGAAAACTACTTTTTGTGAATGTTGTTGCAGTTCAAGTGAAAAATAACTATTACCGATCCTTAAAAAAATATTGCATTGGATTTTTACTTGTCTACGAGAGGTTTCTGTATATGATTGCTGTTATGATTTTCGTTTAAAACGCCTGTGTGATTCGGCTTAGTTATAATTTTATTATATGTATAGATAAGCCTTTCTAGAGAATAATTTGAACGTAATCCCACAAATTATAGGTATAATTCGTAGTATTACGCTTAGTTAGGATTATTCTATGAAAAACTGCAGTTGCGGTACAGCAATTTAGATTTGTTGACCCAAATTAATATTTCTGCTACGAAAAGTACACGAACATTTCTTAGGCACGAATACTTGTTTCAACCTATTTTTAAAATTAATTATGGAAAATTATACGATCTTTCATTCACTATATGTATATATGCATTAAATGCTAATAGTTGTGTCGCTAGAAAAAAATATCGCTGGTAAATCATTTTAATAATGCAGGACTTTCTTAGTATTTTTCTCAGTTAGTATATACGAACAGAATTTATTACTTACTAGCATTGCCCGCGGCTCCGCCCGCGTTCACATGACCAAAAACCAAATTATTAAGTTTTACATATTAGTATACTCTTACATTGCAGTTTTTGTAGTTTTTCTCAGAAATGAGATATTTTCCCGCGGTAAAAAGTATCCTATATGTTGACCCGGATAATCAGCTATCATCCTACAAAATTTCATCAAAATCCCTCTAGTGGTTTTTCCGTGATACGGTAACAGACAGACGGGCGGACGGACAGACAAAAATCTAAAAACTATGGATTCGGCCTCTGTATCGATAATAATGTCTATTTCAATAAGGTTTTCCAAAACATTTTTAATGTACAGATTCGGCTTAGTTAGAATTTTATTATATGAATAGATTTCTAACTTTCCTAAGAAAATATCGTGGTATCACAACCGATGTCTAAAATTTGTGAAAATGGTTAGTGCATAGCATTAAAATATAATTGCGTTTATCCGAAATTTTAAAAACTACTGTCTTTTCTCGAAAGTAAAAAAATGGAAATGTGTATAAAAAGTCTAACATGTTTTACATATAGGTACATATGTATGTACATATCTAATTGGAATTTATTCGTATCATTCCTTGTATTTCTATCACGTAGTTTATGCACGTTTTGAATTCGACGCAAATTGTCCCTATCTCTTTGCCTTTCAACACGTTAGAATTCTGCTTTTTTTTTAAATATGTTGGGACATTAATTTTTAACCATTTTTTTAAACCAAAATATATAAATACTTGAGTATATCCTGATAATAGGAAAGTGAAATAAATTAATATGTCCATAAACACCACCTCCAGGTAAATTTCTAAGAAATTAATTAAAATTCTAAGAAATCTATTGTTAACTGACACGCCGGCGTGTCCGCGGTCGTGGAGGGAATATAATAATAATAATAATTCAAGAATCAATCTTTAACTTGTTGAAAGTCTACATAATTATCAAGCGTTTATCGGACAAATAATTATAAGAGGGTGACTAAAATCTTTAACAATAAAGCCATTAAAAAGCAGAATTCTCCTATGTACTACTATCTGCATAGTGAAGTCCTAGTGGAAGCATGCAAACGACACGTATTTGCATACTAAGACTGCGGATTTTAGCCCCGGGACTAAAATGGAACTGGATTTATCCATTGTGCTGTAAAGTATAGCTTGCTCCTCACATAAATCTAAATTCTCTTGAATCGTAGCGTTAGTTGTTTTCTTTTTCATTATTTGTGC